TTTTTTTTTTTTTTTTTTGGCAGATCATTTTTAAGTTTGCATCCCTCTTATGATTCTGATGACCCAAAACCACTCATATCTTGACTGCTTTTTTTTACCCATAGCAGTTGACCTGGGTGGTGACATTGCATGTGGTGGTAAGACCTTACTATCAGGACAATGCAGAGCAAATTAAAAATGGTCTTAATTCAAAACTACTTATCAGAAAACTGATTGGGAATTTTTAAAACTCTTAACCTACATTGGTTGAAAAACAATGCACAATTGCACTTGGACAGCAAAGTCACTTGATGTTACAGTCCCCAGAAATGTTTATGATTTCACATTCAGACAAAATTGTACTGTTTGCTGCTGTCAGATTGTTACTGCTCATCTGATGGCAAATGCATTCAGTCAAAAGGTACTTGGCAAGACCTAAAATGTATTGCTGTAGGGTACCCAACCCATACTGTACCCAGTAGATGTGTTATCCTGGGAAAGATGGTCACCATTGTGGGAGGGTATGTAACCTATCTGACTTTGGTATGCATCGGGTTTAAGTGGGATGCCAGATTTTGCTCACACCTGGCCTATTTCATGTTCTCGCTGCTATAAGACTCCCCAGAGAAGCCGTACAAAAGTGCAGACAACACATCAGTCAGTCCAGCTGTATTGTGTGTGTCTTGTTTGGCTTTAGCTATGCCAACGTTTTCTCTTTTGCCAACCTATTGTGGCCATTTTCTACCACACTGATCAAGTGGGTTTACTGCTACTTTACCACAGTGGACCCTTTTCCTAGGGTACAGTGTGCACTCTCAAGGATATCTGCAGTGATTTTAGGCCAGTATAAGTCATTGTCTTGAAGGCTGAACTACTACCAGATATAACTTCCTACATTTTTTTAACCTTTCAAATGGAAAAAAAGAATGGTCGACTCTGTTGGTTTATGCCTAACTGTAGTGTGAACTCTAGGAAAAGTTTGCAGGGTGTTTCTATTTGAGCTATGTATTCAGACTTTTCTGGTTGGTTGTAGTGATTTAGGGTCCTGAGTGTTCCATGGGGCAGATTTAGATTTATTTGACTGTGTGTTTGCTAAAGGAGAGCCCTCCTTCTTTGGCTTTCTTACAGCACTGCTCTACTGTAAGATAAAGTAGAATCCATAGTCGGTGTGCACACGTAACACCGTTGAAATTGTGCATCTCATACCAGGAGAAAACAAGAATCTTTTGGGAGAGCGGGGTGTGGTACTCCAACTCCATTAATGGTTCCTTGAAATGGTGTGAGCGTTCTGTTTGGAGTGCCAGGATTGTTCATAGTCTCTGTGATGCAGGGGTGGAGAGGGGGAGGCTCCCACATGAACTACTATGTTGCCTTCTTAGCCGGAGCCAAAAGCTCAAGTCTTACCTCTTTTAATAGCTTTGATCAATATTTCTGTGTATTTCTTACATCCCTTGTTACTAACCTCAGGCCCCATAAACTACCCAAAGCAAGTTTCATTCCCTCCCATTTTACATGAAAGAAAATTCATGTTGTACAATATCACTTTGGAGGGAAGCGGGACTACGATCTAGGTCTCTTGTATGTCAAACTAAAGCTTATCTACATATAAACAAATTAGGCATGTTCACTTCACTGTAGTTACAATAGCACAGAAGTGAATCCTCATACAGTGTTTGAACATACACTTTGTACCCAAGAGAGCAATGAAGGCCTACTTTAACACAAACACATTAAGGTATAAACGTGGGTGATATGCTTTGAGGTAATGTTCAAAAGCAAACGTTTCATTGTGCAGATCCGTTAATCCCTTGTGGGTTTTCAAAGAATGAAGATTTAGTGGTCAGAACAGGAGCCTGTAAGGCTTACTAATCAACTCCTGTAATTTGCTGAAAGTTAAGTGGGCACTGGAGAAAAACACTGGTAATTTAAAATATCTTTGTCAGTCTACAGTATTATCAAACAGGAAGAAATTTGCTTAATAAAATTATTTTTGACCTGACATTGAAGTAAACAATAACTGATGTGTGACTGTTTTAATTTTCAGAGCATCTTCCTAAACTACAAGCCAGACCCTATTCAGCTTCAAGGTACTGAGATACTTAAATTGATCTTTTTCTTTGTCATTTAAGCTCCTTTTTTTTTTTTTTCTTGAGGGGGGGAAAAAGTGTTCTTTCCCTGCAGGTCTGGTTGAGTTGCTAAGGAGAGACTGGAAAAGGCAAATTTGTGGGTAGGGAAGTTGCAAGTGGTATGTACAGAGGAGAAGTAAGTAGGAATGAATGAGGTGGGGGGAGGCACAAATGAGTTGAAGGTAGAAGAGAAGGATGAATGTGATGACAGTCAGGCAAGAAAATGGTGGAGAGATTGAACTAAAGGAGGAGTAACAAATAAATGGAAGGAAATGGAGGAGGAGAGAAAAAAGAGGGAACATGATTAAATCTAGAGTAAAGAGAAACACTGAGAAAGGAGAGAGGAAGTATCGACAAGAGAGAGCAGGCAGAAAGTAAAACAGATTGAAAAGACAGACAAATAAATGCTGAGGAGACAAAGTTTGTTTTGTTTTTTGAGAATATTGCAGTTACTAAAAATATATACATGGGATGTTTGTCTGTACATCAGGCATCGTTGTTCTGAATCCGATAAATAAAGGGAAGTCATAGTGGAATTTTATGGGTCAGTCAAATGGTATTGCCCAGGCAGTTTTCACCTGTCCAACACAACCCTGAGTTAGTGTGCAGGTAATTGCAAATTGTAGCCCATGGAAAGATACTGACTTGAGTGAAATTTGGATTGGGTGCCAAATGAAGTTAATGTGAGGTGCCATGGCTCCCACCTGGATAATATTTTGTTTGTTGTCATTGCAGCTCCAACTTATTTCAACCAGGAAAACTGCACTTTGTTTTTAATATCGTGGAGTTTCCCTCTTGCCCAGCACGACCAGTTTTGCGGAAGGGGGTGTGTACAGGTTGGCTTGCTGACTTAGTTACACCAGTGCTTCAGCCAAGTGAAAGCACTGAGCATTCCAGCGCAGGAAAATCCTCAGCTCTAAAGGTACTGAAACAACGTCAGAAATGTTGCGGTTTTAAAGAATGTTGGAATTGGAATGTGCAATGCTGGAGGAAAGATGGCTTCCTTATTCAGTGCTGCGATCTGTTGTTCATACGTTTCAAGAATGGCCATATGATCCCCCGTTGTGCAGTCCAGTCCTCATTAGACATTTCTCCTTCTCTAGATAAGCACTGTGTTGGAGTGAATTGATAGGAATAGAAACTTTCTGGAGATGGACCAGAACCCCAGACCCCAGCTCTGATTGCTCTTCTGATGGCTAGGGAAGTTTGGAACCAGATCTAAATTTGCACCTTGGGCTGCTGGTTTGCTTAATTTGATATTTGCAAGAAGGTCTGTGTAGATTTGGGTAGGGTGGACCACAGCAGTGGTAGACACTCTTGGTGTGGATGGTCTTGATTTTGATTATGCATGCTTTATTTTGTCTTGGCTCAGCCTGTTTCTAAAGCCCAGAGAACTGGATTAAAATCCCTTCAACTCTTCTGGAATAAGAGCTTCCATATGGGGAGTCAATCAGCAACAAGTATTCCAGAGCAATGTTCCATGTAGACCAACACTTATCCTCACCTGGAAGTTACATGTACGCTTCAAATAATTACAGTGGGAATTATATGTGCTTATTAACAACAAAGTTATCCCACTGGAAGAGCTTATTTTACAATCCAGATGCGAAAGGCCAGTTTTCTCTGCTGATGTGAATTGGTGTGATCCATTGGCTTCAGTGGAACCATACCAGTTTATACCAGCAAAGAATCATTTGTGTGAGCATTGTGAGTCCATGTTGCTTTTGGCTAGTTACCTTGTTACTCTTGACTGCTTGCAGATTGGGGGTGGTGGGGGGGTGGAAACCCAAAACTGGTGCTTTACTTAAACTGGCATGCTCCTGCACCAAGCGCATGCCCAGAAGAGGCATTGTGTTAGTCATACCTGGCTTTTCCAATGTCTGTGTAGATCAGGCTCTTTAATGGGGTGTTTTTGGTGCGTTTATCTAATAGCTGATTGAATCAGCTGTTAGATAAAAGCCCCACTGAAGCTCCCGATCTATACAGACACTGGAGGGCTGGGTCGAAGTAACACATTGCTGCTTCCAGTAAAGCAGGTTGAGTTGGGGTTTTTTTGGTTCCTCCCCACCATGTCTGACAGTGCCTCTTGATACCTGTAAATGTATATTGTTAAATCATAAGATCTTACCTTTCTGCAGCTGACTCAGTCTTTTGTGAAGGAGTGAAGAAACCCCTGTTTTAAAAAAAATAAAAAAATCAGTGAACCAGCATGTTTAGACAGGAGCACAGCCACACTTTTGGTATTCTGGTTATGTCTTCCCTTTGTACAATGAAAGAGCATGTTTATATTCAGCCACACACATACTCGTCTGAGCTATTCCATATAGCAGTGGCATAGAAAGTACAAAAATAAATATATGAGGCCACTTTTTACTTTTAAAAATTTTTTACTTGCTTTCTCTTTGAAATGGCTTCCTTAAAGGAAAATTCATGTCCTTGAACAGCCATTGAAAAGGTAAATTTATGACCCTACTTTCTAGAAGGGAAATTCCTTTCATTGTTCATTTTGCCAGGTTTCCTCTCGGCATGCTCCTGTGTATGATGTAGGGAGTACAGAGCTATGGGATTTGGGGAGGGGAGTGTGAGCAATGTTCTCACACCTCTGAAATAAAAAATAATACAGGAAGGATTTGAATAGAAGGCTAAAAGAAAGGCTGTCTGTTTTACAGGGGTGCTGTCTCTTTAAAAAGCTGGATTATCAGCCCAGAGTCTCCTACACTTCTAAGCGAGTCATGTAGCATATTATAAGATGCTAAATGGAAAGCTGTTGTATGCCTGAGCTGGTTAGACACTGCAAAGGGAATGCTCTTTTCTTTCCCTCTCAGGGAAAGATAAGAGGTCTACAGCCTCAAATATTTCCCTTCTCTTGTCAGCTCTTATACAACTTGTGATAATGTCTTTGCAGCAGGCCAGATGGCCAGTCATTTCTGCAGCAAAAAAATGGTATGGGCTTATCATGGAAGATTGTGAGATTTGGATACTTCAGAGAGGTGGGGAAACTGTTAAAAGATGACACCTTTTTTAACATCACTTTTTTTTTTGATTGATTGCCTTGTGAGAGAGGCTTTCTAATGCATTTTGTGTTAGAGAATTGCCTCCTGTTGTGTATGTGCATCACGCTCTCAGGCTCATTAGGTAGAAGCAAAATACTAGGATTCAGGTAGGCTATTGTGTAATCAGTATGCCAAGAAGGAAAAACTACTGACCCCCAAAAGTTTGGGTCACCATCTAATATCTACCTGATTAAAACAAGACTAGAGTCTACACTTATGTCTGGTTACAAGAGATCTGTTTCAATAGTCAGAAGTAGTTTGTCAAATTTACTAGGGCAAGACCTGACTTACAAATTATCTGAATTTTTTAAAACTAATTTTGAGGGAAACTGGCTATGTATGCATGTAATAGTTTACTCCAACTCTGAGGAACATCCTTGATTTAAAATATAGTATGATTTGTTATTACTGAATCACTGGCAAAATGCTAAAAATGTAAAAGCCCTGACCAGGCTCTTTTTTTTTTTCTTTCTTTTTGTTGAGAGAGAGATGGGGTTGGGGGCAGAGAAAAATGGAAGGTTAATTACAATAGGGGGGATAAACAAAATTCAAAGGTGTTTGCATCTGCTGCATAAGCTAAAATTCAACATAGATAAATGTGCAGCAGTATACACAGATTGCAAAATATGTAGAAGCCCAATACAAAATGAATGAGGCTGATCTTGAGCAGAAATATATTAGATTAATTATAAGCACTTTTAAAAATAAATGTATATACCATTTGCAGAAGCAATATTTTTTTTTTTGAAAAGGGCACCACAGTTTTGGAATACCTAATAGGAAAAGTTGCCAACCTCAAGTATGATAAAATAGAATGTGTTTATATAAACACAAACATCAGCTCTCCCCGCAAGAATTGTACCATTTATCCTCAAAATAAAACAACATGATGCTCATTACATTCTTAGCAGTTTGGGACTCAGACGTGATAGCCTTAAAAGAGAAGGCAAGCAGTTTGTGCTGGTAATTCAGTGGGTAGAGCCAATGGCAGGATGCAGTGATCAGGGAAAGATACAGGAAGCTCTCTGCAACAATATTTTGAACAGATTTTAGGGAACTAGAGTGCATTTCGGCACCAGAGAAGAGGATGTTGAAGTAGAGACAGGACAACCTGGATGAAAGTTTTTAGCTGGGAATACAGAAAAGAGGCTGGATCTTAGAGGGGTTTTTCAGGAAGAAATAGCATGATTTTAGACATGACTGGGACTTTGCCAAAAGGCTGAATCAAAGACGATGCACAGATTGTGGATCTTAGTTGCGTTATGTTCACCATGACTGAGAAAGTTGCTCCTGCTAAACCAGATCTCTTGTACTATCTACCCCTTTGAAAATATTTTATATTTGATTGTAGGTGGGACAGTGTAAAGGCCATCAGTCTTTGTTTCTAGCTGAATGATGGTGGTAGCTTGCATGCTAATGAAGTATGGGGAATATTTATTGTTTTTTACCCAAGTCCATATGGGCAGATTGATAGAACTGCAAATTTGTGTGACATTCGATCCCAGATGTTTTACATAGCATCAAGCTTGGCAGCCTGAGTATATACTCTAGTCCAGCAGTTGTCATACAGGGTGCCACAGCACCATGGGGTGCCTTGAGATCTTTTCAAGCATGCTACAGGGTATCACGCAAACTGTTAAGTTTACAAAAACATTTCATAAGATTAAACTCAAATACTTCAAATACAAATCTATGGTTGTAGTCTGAGTTTCTTGCAACAAGGAGGTACTATATTATTTTTCTGAAGTGAAAAGAAGAGTTAAAACAAAGAGCTGGCATTTTCTGAGGGATGCCTTGAATCTATATAGAGGTGTCTCAGTTCTACAAAGGTTGAGAACCACTGCTGTAATCCATTCAGATCAGCATCGCGCATCATACATTTTCTGTGAAGAGGAGTGTGTCCATGTGTTAAGGCTCCAAAAACATCACAACCTTTTATCTGCCTACATAATTTCTTAAAATTATGTTATAATAGCATCTAATTTTGTTCTAGGTCCCCATTTTTGCTCGCCCTACCAATGTTTTCCACTTACCAGAAGATCTGACTGTCCCTCTTATGATGGTGGGTCCAGGGACTGGAATTTCGCCATTTATTGGTTTCCTGCAACACAGGTATGTGCAGCATTATTGCTTGGAAAGCATCCAGCTTGTTAAAGAAAGTCACTTATTGAATCAGGTATCGGGTAGAAATGGAGTGGGGTATCGGCCTCCAGTCATATATGTTGCTTGTAAGGGAACTACTGGAATTAGATTCTTTTTTTGACATTAAAACAACAATGCTTCAGGGGTAAGCATTTCAATTGAAACATCCCATTTTTATTTTCATTCGGTATAACTTCTAAATTCAGTAATTGAATTCTTTTTTTAATATAAATGTAATGGATGTAGGAAGAGCTAGATGGTTGAAGGAGTTTGAGAGAAAATAAAACTTTCCAGATTTCTACTAGGAATCCACTAGAGGTCAGTAGTTATAAATAATAATAATAATAATAATAAATCTTACTATACTGTTGGGTGGCCTGAATGTGGTGAATTGGCCATCACAGCCCATTTCCTTCAGGACTGAAGTCCATATATGCAAACCTGCCATGACTAATGGCACAAGGTGCCAGAATCCCTTGCTGACTCTAAGTTTGACCAAGTGACTGAAGTATGCAAGCAAAATGGTTTGGGATTCCTGTCACTGCTCCTCCTGCTCCTGTCCTGTGATTTTTAGGAATTCAGACTGTTCATGATGCTCTTCATCATATGCTATTTAGTTGATCAATATAGTAACTTGGCTGTTTATTGCTCTACTGTTAGCCTATAACCTTGATCACATGTTCACCCATATTATTAGGAATAGAAAAGACCTTATGTACATGTTCAATGCATCCAGTATGCAGTTATTCTAGAAACGGCCGAAAAAAAGAATAATAAATCATTTTCATCAGAGGGTGATAACAAGAGGTTGGACTTAATATCTGAGCAAAACTGTGTGGTGTTAGTCAAAAAGTAATAATTTCACTAGCCTCCATGTTTATGAGGTAATAAATAGTCCTTCTCTACTGATGGATTTTATAGTCCATATTTTTTCAGTGTTTTATTATAAGACAACAAGAAAGGCAGCATACTCTCTTTAAACTAAAAGTGCAGTAATTCCATAAGTTCAGAAGGGAATTTATTTCACTGCATTTTCTGCTCTCTCTCCGACAAAAACCAGGAGCTCAAAATAAGCTGTTATGCTTTGATCTAACATATAGTGTGTTGGCTCTTTTGCAAAGCAAACCTCTCTCACCACAAAGTATGCACTATTAAGCGGTTAAATGACTTTAGGACAGGGGGCATCTACTTCTCTACCAACGAACTACTATACTTGTGGGAGCAACACACAATATAAGGCACAGAGCAGATATTTTTTCTGTCTGTTCTTTTTTTGTAACTCGCATTTCCTAGTGAGGGTCATGGGGTAGATATATTGCACATCGGCTATTAGTTGGCCTGTCAGGCGTGCTGGAGATGGGCAGAAATGCTATGTTTTTGTTCAGCGCTGCAATTAAATTTTGGCTTTAGGGTTTTTTTTTAAAGCTTTTCACTTTAAGGAAGTGAGTATCTTGTCCTTTGAAGCTATGATGGATAAAGTGAAATATTAAATATTATTTGCAGTGCTATGCAGACACGCTTTGATTCTGCAAACCCTCCTAACAGCTAAGCAACTTAGAGGTGCATTTTGTTCTTTTCTGAATGCCATGATGACCAGATTTGGTTGTTTAAGTCCTAAAAAACTGCCATTTATATCAAGGCTCATACTCTGTTTCTGTGCATGTATAACTATTCACATGCCTAGGACTACACACAGGCAGGGATGGAGTGCCAGCTTGTACATATTTGGCATTTTTGAGACTTGGACAACCACATAGATGATCAAATCTGGTTGTCTAGGCATCCAGAAAAGACTAAATAGCACCCTTACTGATTTAAGACTGCATACACATATTAAAATGACCTGGGAGAATTCTCCTGGGTTAGTTCTGCTACAAAAACTTAATCTGAGATGCCTGAACAGATATTTGAATCTGAGCCTCTAAAGAGCAGACAGCTTGCAGTGCTGATGCTGCTCATCCAGGGAGCCCCTGCGTACATATTTCAGAATGCTCTGCAGGCTCCCTTGGATTTTCTGGTGGCACATGGTAACCGTGCACAGGGCAGTCCTGTTTGGCTGACCCAGATTTCTCAGAATCAGTTTCTGTCTTCCTGCAACATCATGTGGGATTGAAAAGGGGGCATATTCTACTCCCTCTTCTGCTGGAGTAGGTAGAGTCCAGGCTGAGCAACACACTGTCTTGAGGGGGGAGGGAGTAAAGCACCCTGGGATGCTGGAGGACTGCTGTTGCTTCTGGTGAAAGGGTAAGCTGAACAGACATTTGCTCTCCCAAGAGAAATTCTCCCAAGAGTGATGTAACCCTGGGTATTTTTCTCCTAGAGCAGCCCCTTTTTCTATGGGAGAAAGATTGTGAACATGTATACAGTCAAGGTTTCTCCTGGGAAAGCAACAAGTCTCCCAAGAAAAACTAAATGTCCATACAGATCTTAAGTGTGTGTTTGCAGAATCAGAGCCATAGCCATGAAATCCCCATCGCTTCGGATTTCTCTGGTTTTGGTTCAACTTCTCCCCGTTCCTTTCACATAGTTCCAGATTTATTTATTTGAGTTTACTGATATTTCACCTAGTTGGGATCCTTTATTAAATCATCCCAAATTCCATTCCTTACCCCCCCATGTTATTTTCTAATTCTGTTTCTTTTGTCTCAGAGAGCAATATGCTTTTGGAAGTGCTCCTGGGAGTCGATTTAAGAAGTACTTTAGCCTAAATGTTTGAAATTAATCTTGTTGCCGCCATATCGTAGATCAGTGTCATGTTAACTTTGTTGTTGTTGCATGATTGAAATACTGTTGAGTGCCTTTCTCAAGAATGAAAGAGAAGCCAGAGAACACATTTTTGCAGACCTCTTATAGGCTAAGATCAAGTGTAGGAGGTGTAGTCACCTCTTCATATTACATAGAGCAGGGGTGTCCAACCTTTTTGAATGTGGGCCTGGATCATGAACCTTTTATCCCCCAGTGAGCCGGCGAGCCATATTCAGAGACCTCACAGGAAGTGGTATCACATCACCCCCCCCAAACGAAAGTACAGTGTTTACTTTTGTTTCCTGTCAAAGCACCTTAGGCCTCAGAAAACAGCTTGGAGGGCCACATGATGGTCCATGGGCCATATGTTGGACAAGCCTGACATAGAGGGAGTGACTATAGTTGTCATTATAGGGAATCTTATCTGAAGTTAATGCTGCTTCACAGCAACATGTGACTACACAAAGGACAAAGCTGAATCCCGTTATTTAACTTCAGAAAGAAAGGGCACAAAATGGCTATTTAACTACAGATTATTTTCAAATTCTCTTTGTTGTAGATGTGATATTTCAGCAGAGTACCATCAACTCAAAGCTTGGTTGTTTTCAGAACAGCGTTGTTTCATATGCTACAAATAAAATAATCTTTGCTGACTTGTTGTTTTTGGGTAGTGGCCAAACCCTAGTCGTATCCACTAATGTGAGATCGTTCCAGTTCATGTCTTCAAACATGTACCAAGAATGTTTCTTCTATTGTTGAAACAAAGCTGTGGATTTGTAGAGCTTTTGTATCCATGACTGAGCAGTCTTTAAAGTTTATGGAACTCAAATCTCCGCAGATTTGTTTTCCAGGCTGTTTCTGGCTTTTACGTGTAAGTTCAAGCACACACTCTGTGCTTTTGTTTTTAATTTACACTATGAAAATTGGAAGAGTGGGTGATGATGTGTCAGTAAAGGGAAAAAAAAAACCTAGGGAAGTATTTGTATGTGGAGCATGAAATTGAATTGTGGCAGTGTCAAATGATTTTTCTACTGTGTAATAAATTCTTAGGAAAATATTAATTGGGAAAGACAGAAACTGCATTTGCCGATATAGAGATGTTTAAAAGGATTTGCTGTCTAAGTTTACCATCATTATTACCACTAAAGAAAGTCATAATGTGCACCGTTTAACAAGCTAATATATTTGCTGCTGCTAATTACCCCTGTATTATTATGATGGCACAAGCCAGAATTATCATCTAAGAGGCCGTTTGGAGGAGCGTAGAACTTTTAGTTTTAAACAGATTTTGGTATTGTTACAAGCCAAGGCATTTTAAACTTTATACTTCTGGGCCAGTGGTAGTGGCATTATAATGGGAAGAGATTGTGGTGACCTGTGGAAAATTCGTGTGAGCTTGAAGCTTGTTTTATACATTGCACTTTCAGTGTATTCAGCCCCAGGGATTTAACAGGTTTACCACTGGGGCTGTATAGGTGAAAGCCAAAGGGCATTTTCAGTTTCTCTTAAATGGGTCACTTCACTTTTTCAATCCAATCTTTCTCATCCAGGAAGGAGAAGCATATCAGGCTTCACAAATCTATTCTATTCAGTTTTCATCAGACATTACACCATATGTTTGTCCAGAATAACTTCTGATGAAGAGAAACATCTTTTCACAGAGCATTCCTGACTGTAACTTTCTCTTCTTGCAGGGATTTTTCTGTCAGAAACTTGGAAATGCAACCATGTAATACATTCCAGCATTTGTACCTTTTTTTTCTCTATTGTTTTTAAATACAGAGGGGCAGTGATAGTAAGACTACCTATTTCTTATCAAGTCACTTTTTCACCTGTGGATTTGAAAGCATTTTACTAAGGTAGGCAAGTGTTGGGGCTCTACTGCATCAGTCCAGCAAGATGTTGAAATGCTTCTTTGTCCTGGGGCAGCAAAGTATATCAGATTTGGCCATACGGGCTGCTTGCAGATATTAAAAAAACAAACAAACAACCCCCCCCCCCCCCAAACCATGCTTTACTGGATACCAGAAGAAGCATCATGTTATTTTGACCTGGTTTTGCAACATCTGTATAGATCGGGCTCTTTAGCAGGGGTTTTTGGTGCTTTTATCTAATAGCTGAGTCAATCAGCTATTGGGTAAAAGTGCCAAAAAAGCCCCACTAAAGCACCAATCTGTACAGACTTTGGGTGAGCCAGGGCCAACTATTGCACTGTCTTCTAGACATGTGCTGGGCTTGGCATGGGAATGCACTGAGTCTAAAGCAACCATTATGACAGTGTTAACAAGGTCTCAAGATGAAATGGTGATGATTGCATCATATTATACATGCATGTTGTGGAGGGTTTCCACAGTAGATAAGGCAGAACAGGGCCTTGGCTTTTCCTCATTCTCTATCTTCTGAGCAGAATTTAAACATTGGCTTCCTTCCAAACCAGCTGTATCTAATCCTGGATCACATTAAAAGTTCTACTATATATTTTCCACTAGAGGAAGGATGTGCACAACGGCATGAATGAGGACTGGGAACCAGAACCCATGGATCTTTTTTTTTTCTAGTTCTGTTATCTACAGTGTGACCTTGGGCACGTATCAGCCTGTCCATAGATCTGGTTACATATTTGCTAAAATATTTAATTGGCCTACACAGATGGTCAGGCCTAATTATGTTTAGTGAAATGCCAGCAGATCTGGGACTTAAAATGTTATGTGAGTGCAAACTGATGGTGCTGCACATAGGCTGCATAGACACTGGGTTTACTTTGGCAGGGGTTAGCTTTTTATATTTTCCCTAGAGTTTCTGCATGTTTCCCAAGTCTGGAGGCCTGATGGTCAGCTGATATAAGCTGGCACAGCTTCACTAAACCAGTGGTTACGTTAATTTAAACTAGGTGAGAATCTGGCCATGCATGGGAAATAAAGGAGACCCTTGACTCTTCCATAGTCCAGAATAGATTTCGCACACTCTTTATTTCCAAGGAATCTTGTGCTCACTTTTTGAGCTACCTTTGATTTGCTTTGCCTGATGTCCCACCACCACTAGTGACTACTTATAAAATTGCAGACTGCTGACAGCTTCCCTCTAAATGCTGAGAGGAGCTGACCACAACTTCCTAGCGCAGGTTTTAAGAGAATATTGTAGCAGTGTACTTTTTTCTGCAGAAAGCTATCTCAGCTAGCGAACCGTTGTTGGCTAGAGGAAGTTCAGACCTAGTTACCTAAAGGAAGTTGAGACCAGGAGAGTGTTAGGGCGTGGGGTGGAGAGGAAGTAAATGTGCTGCTCAACTTGGAACTGGAAAGGAACTTGAAGAATTGGAAGAAGTCACAAAAATGAAATTTATTAACCACCCTGAACATCTGCATGAAGGGGGAGAGGGAGAAACCATGGCTAAATTCATTATTGGCAAGAATAAAAACCTCAATGTATACCCCACAGTAACAGGCATGATGCTCTGTGCTTCTCTTTCTCCAGGGGCAATGAGAAAGGGAGAGACGGGGGTCTCTTACAGATTTCTTCCCAACCCCAGTGTTTTCCTGGCTCTCTTGATTTCTGAATAAACAATGGAAGACAAGCCTTCAGGCCACAGATCATCACTGAAGTTGATTCATCATGAAGGGAGGGACCTAATCCCCTCTTATTGCTTTCCCCCACAATGATGTTGAGGTGGCCTCAGGAAAGCTCTGAACCTCTCTAACATCAGTTTTCAGTTTGCCTTTTAACTTCAGTAGGGTTGGACAGATTCCAGAAATGAGAGGAATGTGGGGTTTTGAGGGTAGGGGGGTTCTTGGTATCTGGGGTGCTTTTTTTTGACATTGTGGAGATTAGCTAGGTCATGGGTATGGCACTTCCAAAGGAAGAAACTTCAAATGACCAGGGGAATTGTGTATGTTGACAGTGTACGGTTTGGCAGTCCTGCACATTCTGGAACCACGTAACCACATACAGTACCACAAATATATGTGTATTAGTATTCCCAATATTAAATACAGATGAGATGGAGAAAGAGCATAAGTGGCTCTTTTAAGATGAGAGACAGTGGTTGTGATATCTGACACTAGCACTTGGCATCCTGAAAATAATAGGTTTGTTTTTGGCTTTTCTGCACATTTGAATTGGTGCTTTCAAATTATGTACTGAAAAGACTATACTAAAAATAAGGCTTTTTAACTCTAGTAGGACTTCTGACTGGATTCTAAGTTAGAAGACTTACTGAACTATTTTATTTATATATAGATATGTATATCTTTAGTGTTCTGAGAGAGGTAGAAACGTTCCATGTCCAAATCAGAACTGAGCCCATGGAAAAATAGAACTTGGAGCCTATTTAATTCTAATTATTATTAATTTTAGTATTAGATTTTCGGGGGGAGGGGTAAACAAATTTCTATCCAGCCTTGTTTGTATCTGCTAGATCTCATCTTTGTAGCAGAATTTTTAGTTTGGAATCCTCTTGCTGATCTCCTAAACTCATCAATTTGTAAATTGAAAGTTTATAATTCCTCTTTCCTCCATAGGTTTTTGTTAGAGAGCTGGTTTTCAGTCTAGCTTTTCATTTTGTGTGTAGTCTGCCTCAGGTGAAGGTATTCACAAATTGCATTGGCAGCCCCTTCTGAAAGCCAATGAAAATGTGATTTATGTGGGTTAATTTCAGACCTAAAACTTTCATTAGTGTTTCTTGTGGGACACTGGTAACTTACTTGTATAACTGAGATGTAGTCCCAAGTGATACGATAGACTTTTTATCAAACTGAAAACTTTTAACAAGGAAACCTTAAGGCAAGTGATGAGTAACGCTCCACTGCATACCGATGCTCTTTTTGTGACATGTTAGTTGTGTACTGTAAAATGTGCCTCACCTATTTTAATAAAGTCAATTCAAAATAATGTGCTGGTTTTTTTTCTGTTTTTAATACCAAGTTTGATATCAGGTTTTGCTCTAATTTGACTTCCCCTTTACTATATAAAAAGTAAGCCAATGCACAGCTCAGAAGTTTGATTCAAATAAATACCTGAGAATTTGGATCAGATTTTATAAAGTTGTTTTAAGGGGCCTTGTCTGCAGTGACCTGTTCATCCTTGTAACTTCTGTGCCCCTTGCCTGTGTTCTCATAGGTTTTGATACTTAGGCCCAGAACTCTTAGGATCTTAGGAAAGCACAGCTAGAAGGGACTTCATGAGACCTCTGATTCAGCCCTCTACTCAGGGCAGGATCCTCCCTGAGTAACCCAGCCCAGCCAAGTGTCTTATGTGACTTGCTCTTAAACTTCCAGGGACAGCTTCTCTAGATAGCCAGGTCCAATACTAAACTATCCTCCTAGTCAGGAGGTTCTTCCTCTTGCTTTTGGTCATCTTGCACCCACCACTTCTTTCCATAGCAAAATGTTTTTTGAAATATTTCTTGGAATGTGGCAGCTATCACTTAGCTCTACTGCAGTGGAGCAATATAGGACTTCGGTTAAACTGGAATTTGGACTATTGGGATAAGCCATCGGATAAGGTGACTTCCTGAACTGCCTTCACAAAAGGCCTAAAGGGGATGGGAAGGTGATCATTGGGAGGTCTGGGCCATTAATGAGGGATCTTGGACTGAGAAGGATCAGGTACCTCCCTGATTCCTCCTCTTAACCAAGGACAGTGGGGGAGGAGGAGGAAGTAGGCTTTTCTTATCCCGTTTATTAGTGATCTCTGTTCTGTTCAAGGGATGGATGAAATCTTTAGGTCTGTGCTTTTGCATCTTTGTTTGATACTAACCTAAATCGGCTATTAAAATCTTAATGCTTATTTATCCACATAATAGTTCTTTTAGGTCTTTAAATATTTTTTACATAATTTCCAATACCTATCTCAATTTAAAAGATTCGTAGCATTTCAGCACCAAACTATAACATGTTTATTATATAAATACTAAGTGAAAGGTAAAATCATAAGTAAAAATTGTTGCAACTGTTCTTTATTTTTGTGTTATTTCTATCAACAGAGCTAGTAATTCTTGCTGTTATTTAGTACTGGCAAGATTATTTAGATGAAGTCACTATTTTTTTCTGTGACTAAATGCACATTAAATTGAAAATGCTTCGTGTGGAGTTTTGCTTCCCATTTATTTGTAGAATGTTCCTATTGAAAGAGGTTCTTTGTTTTCATGGGTCTGTATTCAGAAGTGTAGCTTGGGATTTCCAGAAGGACTCAATGTTGGCTTACCTACTTCCGTTGGAGTTGGTAGCCAAACTCCCACTGACTTTAGTGGCAGCAGAGCTGTTGACTGCTTCAGAAATTCTCTCTCCCCTCTACACACCTCTAAAGACTTGACAGTCATTAACACTACCCTACCAGTATGAAAGGACATTATAGAACAGTGTAAAGGAGCTTCCAAGTTTAATCAGTAACAGTTGCTGGACTGACTGAGTAAAAGATGTGTTTAACAAATACTCTCTGTGCCTTTCCCCACCCTGTTGTCCATGTAGACAAAAACTCCAAGAAGAGCATGCAGACTGGAAGTTTGGAGAGACATGGCTGTTTTTTGGCTGCCGACATCGGGATAGAGACTATTTGTTCAGGCAGGTTCAATATTTAGTTTTGTTGTCTGTGCTACATCTAGTGTTTGTGTGGGAGATACTAATCTCAGACCTGTGAGTGACCCTTTTTATTGCCTTTTAGAGATGAGCTCCAGTATTTTGTTGGAAATGGCATATTAACTCATCTTAAGGTCTGTTTCTCAAGAGACCCTCCAGCTGCAGCAGACACAGCCTCACCTAAATATGTGCAAGATAACATTCGGCTTTGTGCCAAAGACGTTGCCAGAGTACTGCTGAAGGAGAGGGGTTGTTTCTATGTGTGTGGGTAAGTATGCTAAGACTGAATGCTTAACAAAGAGAGCATTTCAGAATGGGTTTAAGGTGTTAGAAAGAATTGTGAAGTAAAGGCCTTGCACCAGCAGTGCTAAAGGATTCTTGTCTTTAAAGTGCCATCTTTATGGCATAATATTAATCCTTCAGTTTTGCAACTAAATCTTTTTCACATAGTTCCTCACCGGGTGTAATATGTCTCCACTGACCTCACCCCCTTACCGTGGTAATGCTAAACAGTGGCCATTTTCAATCAAATAGATTTACTCATGCGAGAGATGTGTGAGCACACTACACAAGCCCCTTCTCCAGTAACATGTCTGCAGCTTGTGCTAAAGGGGAAAAAGGTACAGTATAACAAGTGGCCAGTAGGGCTAGGGACCTCATCTAAGCAACTACATGGCAACATGACCACAAACATGAGCAATTTTGATCCCATCCAGAAAAACAGCCAGTTGAAGTGTATTCCTGAACAGTGTGTGTGTTTTTTTTAAAAAAACAAAACAAAACAAAACTGTTTGGGTATACATTTTTATATACATTGTAATATTTTATAATAATATTCACGTATCTACACATATTACATATTATCATAAAATATTATGCTATATTTAAAAAATGTGGGGGGTGTACTTATATACCATATTTACTCAATTATAAAATCAGGTATTTTTTTTCTCAAATCAGCACAGGGAAAACAACCCCCTATTTTACATTTCATACAAGGAAACTGTTAAATACCTATTTTCTGTTCACCTATCTTTGAACTGCTGCTAAAAGCAGCATGTGCTCAGCAATGGAAACCATCTATAAAGTTGATTAAATGCAGCCAACGCTGTGTGTGGCTATAAAACACATGGCCCATACAGGGCAAATGTGTAGTTGGAAACTTTTTTTTTTAAATTACAAATTTTATTAAAAACACGCTTATCACTTTACGCTTAGAAAGCTTCACGTATTGAGCATCCTTGTTTTATCAAGACTTCTTATTGCAAAGCAACTGCATATCAAAAAAATTATACAACTACATATATTAAACCCTTAAATGCCATACATCAACTTCCTACAAAAAACCTCTTACAGAACTCTGTTTCTTCATACAGAACCCCATGAATATCAATTAACCTCTCGGTCGCTCGCTCTATTATTACCTCAGTAACCACCTGAAACTCTCTGCCCTTCCCATCAGTCCTCTCTTGGATCAGTGAAACAAGTGTGTCCAGTCCTTTTTCCTCCACTTCTCTACTTCCTCTTCTCTGATTTCTTCTTTGTCTCAAGTTCAGTATTTGTATAGTAACTCAATTCATGCAGCCCCAGCATCAGGCACTCTTTCAGTGAAAGCCAACTGGCTTATTTTTGTTTCGGTGGTGTTGGTTGTTGCCATGTTGGTCTAGGAACATAGGTGGACAAGGTTATTTGGGTAAATGTGATCTTTTATTAGACCAACTGAATAGTTGGAAAAATTGGCCTTTACAAGCTTTAGGGCACAAGCACCCTTCTTAAGGCATGTGAAGTGCCTTTCTTCAGTACATATACCTGAAGAAGGGTGCTTGTGCCTGAAAGTTTATAAAGAACAATTTTTCCAACTACTCTCTTGCTTTATAAAGTCCCATTCTGACTAGCCTTTGTCTTTTCACTTTCCAAAAGAAAGGTCATATTTCCCTTTGTACTTTCACTAACTGCTGCCATGATGGTGAAAACACAATTCTAGTGTACAAAATGATCAACAGTAACACTGCCTTCATTGCCACTGCTCTTCTAGCAAAGGACAATGTCCTTCCCATCCACAGCCATAATATTTGTTGTGCCATCGCTGTTACCTTTTCCCACACTTTTTTATTTTCTTTCCTTTCTGCCTCAGTTGGGATCCCAAAAACTTTAATCTCTCCCTCCACTACTTGTAGTCCAAGCTTCTTGAGGTCCCTCCAGTTTCCCACTCCCATTTATAATGTTTTTGTTTTAATTTAGCCCCAGGGTCTTCACCATACTCCATTGTATGTTTTGGTACCCTTTTAATGGATAATTTGTCTCTAAACACTACATTGATATTGTCCATATGAATGCACACTTTACCTCTTCCCCCTCCTAGTATCATTACCCCACTTATGATTTTATCTTTCCTTATTCTTTGCTCCAGAGTCTCCATTGCACATACAAACAATATTGGTGACAATGGGCACCCTAGTTTTGCCCTTGTTTGGATTTTAAAGGCTCTGCTCAGATGTCTATGTATTAGCACTTGGCTTTCTGCCCCTCTATATAATAGTCTTATCCATCTTATTAATTTCTCTAGGAAGCCCATTTCCCTTAACACTTCAAATATAAAATGATGATCTGCTCTATTGTATGCTTTCTCCCGATCCAAGTTTTCTACTGCCATATTTAATTTCCTCTGCTGAATGTGTATCAGTGTATCCCTTATCAGCCAAATCAAGTCAGAAATCCTCCTGCCAGGTACTGCACAGGTTTGATCTTCATGTGTTACTTTTTTTTAGGTAGTTCTGTATTCTCAAAGCTACTGTCTTTGCTAACAACTTATAGTCTGTATTTAGCAAGGTAATTGGTCTCCAGAAGTTTTTTTTCTCCCCTTTCTTAGATAAAAAAAATTACTATTCTGCTTGTAAAGTTCTTCCTTGCCTTTTCTTTTCCCACTGGTTCTTTGAAAACCTACTATATCCATCCCTACCTATGGCCATAATTTCTTGTAAGATTCCATGGGTAGTCCATCTGCTTCTAGAAGTTTTCCTCCTTTACAGGTTTTTAAGCATTCCTTCACTTACTATAAACTTAACTTTTCTTCCATCTTCTGTATCTCCTTCTGTTGTACTTTTTCTTCAGTCTCTTGCACAAAATTATTCATTTGCTTTTGGTCTTATTTGCGTCTTCTGGTATAGTTCTTCATAATCTCCTTGTTGCTTCCAGTACCTTCTCCTGCTTTTCCACTTGGGCCCCACATTCTCTGTACTGCTTAGCTCTCTCTTTGCCTTCTTCGCTCTGGCTAAAAAGTATCAGGACCATTCTTCTTTCTCTTCTACCCACAATGCTTGTGCTAAAAATATACTATCTTTTCAGCTCCTGCTCTTGTCTCTCCTAGTTCCTCTCATACCTGTCTTCCTTCTGCAGCTTCCTTTAGGAGCTCATTCATCTTTCAGTGCAGCTCTCTCAGTTCTGTAGTTCTTCTCCCCATGTTTCTTCAGCCTGCTTTCTTCAGAAATTCTCTTGTCCCCTTCTTCACCATCATCCACCATTCTTTGGTACTCTTAAAATATTTCTTCAGTGTCTTCCACCCCTTATACCTTTTTGTGTATGCTTGACACACCTCCACATCTTGTAACAGTTGTACATTTAACTTCCACACTCCCTTTCCTCTTTTGGGGCTCT